ATGTCCAAGTATACCACGTCCACCGCCCCCCCCTTTTCCCAAGTTCCCCCCACGACACCCCTCTATCCAAGTAACCACTCCCCCCGCCACCCCTCTTTCCAAGTATACCAAGTCCCTGACACCCCCTCCCCCAAATTTACCACGCCACCCCACCCCCGCCAAGTATACACGTCCACGCCACCCTTTTCCCAAGAACCCACTTTCACCGCCACCCCCTCTTCCAAGATACCACGTCCACAGCCCCCCCCTGTGCCCCAAGATATCATCCACGCCACCCCCTTTCCCAAGTATACCACTCCACAGGCCACCCCTGTGTCCAAGTATACCACATCCAACGCCACCCCTGGTTGTCCCAAGTATACCATGCCCACAGCCACCCCTCTGTCCAAGTATAACCACATCCACAGCCATCCCTGTGTCCAAGGTATAACCACGTCCACCAGCCACACCTCTGTCTCTCAAGTTTTACCACGTCATACCAATTGTGTGTAGTAGAAACATCCTTTGTGTACAGTGTGTGTGTGTGTTGTCAAGAAAGAGATATGCGCTTCTTACATCCGGTGCGATCAGTGCGGAAGAGATGCTTACTTACATTGGTTGATGACAGATCGCGCGCTCGAAGAAATGCTTCTTACATCTGTTGGTCGGTGGGAAGAATGTCCCTCTTACATTGGTGATCCAGTGGGATGAATGCCCCTTACATTGGTTGACTCAGTGGGAAGAATGTCCCTGTACATTGTTGGTCGGATGGGAAGAAATGTCACGGTACATTGCGTGATACAGTGAGAAGAATGCTCCTTACATTGGTCGGTGTCTGTCCGGAATGAATGCTCCTTAACATTGGTGGTCAGTGGGAAGACATGCTCCTTACAATCGGTGATCAGAGGAAGACTGGTCCTTACAATGGTGTTCATTGGGAGAAGTTATGCCTCACTATCTCCATTGTTGGTTCAATGGAAGAATTGTCCCTTACCATTGGTGGTCAGTGGAAAGAAATGTCCCTTACATTGGTGATCAGTGGGAAGACTGTCCCTTACATTGGCGGTCAGGTTGGGAAGAAGAATGTCCCTAACATTGGGGGGGTCAGTGGAAGAATGCTCTTAGTTACATTGGAGGTCAGTAGGAAAGAATTGTCCCTTACCATTGGTGTCTGTGGTTAGGAAGAAATGTCCACACCTTACATTGGTGGTCAGTGGGAAGAAGAAAGTCCCTTACACTTGGAGGGTCCAGTGGGAGAAGGAGGAGGGACACACTGAAGGAGCTCTCCTGAGAACCAGCATTTTTCAAAGGCCTGGGCCTTGCCTGCTAGCTCTTGGCCCAGGAACCATGCCTGATCCAGGGGGGGAGGCCCTGGGATGGATTCCCCTGATGAGAATGGGGCCCTAGTTGAAGAGGAGTGAGGTGGAGGACCTGACTGTGGGACCGCCCACTTGGTGAGGATGGTCGATGTCTTCAGACAGAAGATTACTGAATAGATAGGTGACTATTGGAAGAAGCTGAGGAGAAAACTTAATGTTTTAAAAAATCTGAGCACAAAACCTTCAGAGCCAAATACTGCTAGGCCATGGAGCAAGAACAGATTGGGCATAGAAGCCATGGCGCTCCAGCACTTGGGAGGACAAAGGAAAGAGGACAATCTTTTTATTAATTAGAAAAGTTTGAAAGCTAGAGAAGTGGAGCGTTTAAAGAAAAATTTTGATAATGAGAGGAGATTTGCCAGCCAGACATTCAGCGTGCTCTTGTGGATCAGCAGCTCTTTGTAATGGATGGACCTAAGGCACCCAATCTAACTTCAGATCTCTCCCCCCCATGTCAGGCTGAGGAGGTTGTCAGATAGCAACCAGCCTGGGGGATTGAGGAGTGAATATGGAAACCCTGAAGTTCACATCCAGCACCATGGATGTCACCCCTGTGGAAGAGAGCAGACAAGTATGCCTTCACTGATGACCCTGCAGAAGTCACTGAGGATGGACAAGGAGGTACATGACTGGCAAAGCCAAGACTGGTTGGAGAAACGGCCCAATTACAACAAGTTGGCATGCTTCCCGCAAGTCATGTCCTTCCTCCCCACCAGCAAGGCTGTGCAACCATACTTAAGCTTCGCACTGAGGAAGCTCCTGCCAAGCAGCCTGCTGTGGTTACAGGACCATCCTCAGCCAACATGGAGGACAACATCCCTGCAGAGCCCGAGGTCATCCAGACCACTCAGGGGAATGTGGGTTGAACCTGCACCAATCACCCCACAGATGGAAATTGCTGCTCGCACTGGGTTTCCTGCTGAGACCAGTAGTTAGTCCCTCTACTGGCATAGATGGCTGCCAACCGCTGCAGAGAGATCTGTTTCACAACCACTGAGCTCCCAGGTGCTCCAGAGCTGATTGATGCTGGTGGGGGAGGGGAGCAGGGCACACTGCACCACCATGTGAGAGCCAACACACAATGGAGATGTCTCACTTGTTTGCTGTGTCTGAGGAATCCAATCCTGTCCTTGGGCTGAGTGTCCTTTCTTGGAGCAAGAGATGACTACTGGAGCTCTATGGTTGCAGCAGTGAGTGTGGACATTGCTGTGAAGTCAATAATGACTGTTGGACGGAAAAGCAATTGGTTGGTGGTGGGGGGGGTTGGGGGGTTAAGCATTGCTGACGAGGAAAAAAAACACTCCCCCCCTGTGAAAGGGGTACACCACCAAACCCCGGACTGTCCCCAACGTACCAGATTTCCCAGTCCCCCCCGACAAAAATTTTTCGGGGGGGTTTGGGGGGCTATTCCCTGTTTTTCGCCCGGGGTTTTTGGGGGGTGTTTGGAATGCTAATTCCAAATTTTGGGGGGTTTGGGGGGGGGGGGTTTCGGGGAGATTTGGAGTGAAGTGGGGGGGGGGGCCCCCCCAGTGGGGGGGGGCGGGGGGTTTTTCTGAAGGGTTAAACCCCGTGATGGTTTGGCAGTCCGCCCAAGGCGCAATGAATACTTTGCGTTGTAAAACCAAAAGGGGGTTTTAAAATTTAGGGCAAACCTCCAGTGGAAGGTTTTTTCCAGCCCCCCCCGGAAAAATCACAACCGGGCCCCAAATAAATCCTACAAGGGATTGGTTTTTGGCACGCCGCGGGGGTGAGGGCCCACCCCCCGCGGAAGGTATGAGCTAGGAAGGGGCGGGGGCCTGGACGGGTCGTCAATTGGGGTCTGGGCAAGGGGTTTTCCCTCCCGCCAGCCTTTCGGGGGTAGGCTGCCAAAAATAAAGGGGGCAGCCTAAAGTTTGAACAAATGCGGGAAAAAAAGGGCCCCAATTTTTCATCGCCTCCCCATCAAAAGTGCCCCATGGCCAGGATTTTGGGCCTTTTTGGCCAAAGAAGCACCGAAAAACGGTGTTTTAAGGCACAGCTGGGTCATCCATACAGCTGTCCCCCAGACACTACACCCCTGCCAATGGAGGTTTTAAGCTGCAGAGGTGGATAAGAGGATGAGGCGCATCTAGGAGGAAACTGTAGTTCCCCCCTGTGTCTGTTCCTCTGTTGGCGATGTGTTTTCCCCCAGTAAGTCCCCCCCTGAGTCGCCCTCCTGTCCCTAACCTACATACGAATTTTCCCCCCAATGGGGGAAAGCTGCTGGGGGGGCTTTTTTTGGATCTTCCCCTCTCGCCCTACCCACCCCCGGTACCTGCCCCCCGTCAGCGCAAACGGGCGGGGTTTGGGGGGTCCGGGGGGGGGTTGGACCCGAGGGGCTCAGGGAGGGATCCATGCCCATTCCCCCTCCGCGGGGGGGGGATTCGGGCTGATGAAGGGGGGAGGGGGTAAGGAAAGAGGGGGGGTGGAGCTCCTCTCTTCCCAAATAAACCCCCAGGAGGGGCCCCTGGCAATACTTTTTATTTGCGGTGTGAAAATGGATCGATATATCCATTTTTATATCTTAGGAGGGGGGGTCCGACTCAAAGAGTGTTTTCGGGTGATAGGTGTTCAGGGTGCGCTACCCCATTCACCGAGGCTTCCCCCCTTTTTAAAGGTGGCGCCTTTAAGGGTCGCCAGCAAAAACCCAAAGCCGGAACGGCCTTATTTTGCTCCCGAGTTGAGCGAATTTTATTTTTGCAAGAGCCTGGCACAACACCATTTGCCGATGTTCAATCTAGCAACAAGGGGCGTGGGCGATGTGGTCCCATCCTTTTTGGTCTCATTGAAGCGGCAGAAACCATGCAGCCGGAGGTTGCTGTCCATTTTTAAAAACCGATATGGTAACGTGCCGGCGGGTAATTTGAGGTAAGACAATTGAGGTGAGATGGCATGGTCTTAGACGTCTCCTGTTAAGGGGGCTGGACCTGCGCCCTGAATCAATATAAACTAGTTGGACCGAAGTCAAAATGGGGGCAGGAAAATGCCTCCTCACCAAAGAAATCAAGCCCTTCCTTACGTAACCGACGTCCCAGCAGGTGTGTCTTTGTGAGCGTGAGCCTTAGTACTCCAACCCCACCAACGAGTCCTGAAGACCAGGAAAGGCTCCCCTCGCCCGTCATTGAACAGGCACGCGAAATGAATAGCGTTACTCTCAGAGATCTGTTGGGTAAGACCCCGGCAGGCCTGTAAGATGTAGCACCCATAAGCACTGCCCAGGCAGCACGGGTTCACAATTCAGAGAGGTAATAAGTCAGAGCATGATAAGACAGTTGTTTATTTAATAAGGAGAACTCTGCTTTCCCACTTCTCGGGCTCCTGAGTTGAATGCGGTGGAGTTGTCGCGAGTCCCCTGTCTGCTGGTCCTGTGACTCTGAATGCCTTCGGACACATCCATCACCCTAGGGTAAGAGGTGATTCTGGAAACCTGAATTTGGCTCTCCTGGAAGATTGTCAGAGGGTAAGTACATCAATCCTTTGAGGATTTTTTTTTTTTGCAGCACAGGTTTCTATTCTGGACTTTTGCAGCAGTAAGTCAGAGTGGTGAGAGCTTGTGAAACAAAGGGCGATTGGACTTTTTTCAAGGCCATAAGTAAGAATAAAGCAGCTTGGTATGTATATTGCCTACCAGCATTTGCGAGGAAGCTTGATCGTCTTGTCTCGTATGGAGGAGATCCAGGGGAATCTCTGAAGTGAACTTCTTCTTAGGAAGTGTCCAATACGACACGGCCATGCCTCCTTGGTTCTGGAGAGGGATTATGGGAAATATCACTCACCTGATCCTTACCCATACACTGTAAGCAAAGGCATAGCAGTAAAGACGGATCATGGCCTGAAAGACAGTACGGGTCCCTGATAAAGTCCAATCAGGATCTTTGGAGATCTTTGGTCGTATTATATGCAACCTCCTGGGAAGAAAGGAACTTAGCCGGGACAGGATGGAAAGCTTGGATGATTCTACTCCAGGATTGGGAAATGGTGCATTGCTTTTGATGAATTTGACAGAACCAATTTGCAGCGGATGAGGTAGTTCAGTGCTATATGACAAGCTGGCTACCAACCAAATCGCCTGGGCCAGTCATGGATTGACAGCTGAATTTTTACAAGTGTTTTTAAGTCCATTCTGGCTCCCTTTTTAGCGAGGGATTTGATAACAGACTGTCTAGAAGATGGTTCCCTCCCTCCCTACTTGAGGCAATCCGCTGTGATTCTTAAAATCTGTAAAAAGGTAAAAGACCCCTCAATGATTGAGAACCAGTGCGCCCCATCAGTCTTCTCAATGTTGATAGAAAGATCTTGGCAAAGATTCTTTTTTGGCGCTTGTCCGACAGTACAGGCGATTTGTTTGTCCAGCCATCAGCACTGTTCCTGTCGTCCTCAATGTAGAATCCGTACCTTTCAACTCAACAGTTTTGGCTATCCCCGGCGAGGCTTTGGCCACGATGCAGGGCTGCTGGATGGAGAAAGTACTGCTGGCATTGGATCAGGCAAACAGCGTTTTGATCGAGTGAATCATGAATATCAGTGGTTGCTGCTTGGTAATACGCCCGGCAGGGGAGTTTATACACGATTGGCTTAAAAAAAGAAGAAGAAAAAAAAAGAAAAAAAAAATCAAAAAAAAAAAAAAAGAAACATTATTATGGGCGCTGAGAGCCTTCCCACTTGTTAATGGTGGGGTATGTGGGCCTTGTGAAAGTCGGCGACTGGTGTGCGCCCGCAGGGATGTCCAACTTGGATGCCCCTGCTATCACCTGCCTTCGCAACTCGACCCCCTTTGTAAGCCGGCTATGAGGGCGCATCGTTGTGGCGGTGTGCCTCGGGGCATTGCTTCGTGTGCCAACGCCTTTGAAGGTCGTTGCCTATGCTGATGAGGTGTCCTGGTTATTGATCTCTGGGACTGAGGAAAGGCGCAGGTCCAAGCGTGTCCGCTGTGATAGAGCACGCCCTACACGAGAGGCTTCGGCGTCAAAAGTCAACCAGAAAAGAAGTGAAGTTTTCTGGATGGTTGAGGAGGGTGGAAAGCTTCGAACTTCCGGATGCCCTTCCCAGAGCCCCCGCAGCGAAATTACCCCCAAATTTGGCATCAAATTTGGTCCTGACTATGTCATCGAAACTGGGAAAGCATGTTGTAGTAGCCAATGCCTAAGTAGCAAGCTGGAAGAGATGGAGGCTTTTCTTGAGAGAGAGGGTTGACTTGATCAAAAACTACCTGAACCCGATCTTTTTATATGTCAGCTTCGTCTGTATCTTGCCGTATCTCTCTATGCAAGGGTCTACAGCTGTTTTTTTCCAACTGTTATGGGGAAATAGGCTGAACCTGATCAAACGCAATGTAACTTACCTGTCCAGGCGGGAGGTGTGGCCTAGGAATGGTCAACCCGATAGTTTTCTTTTCTTTGCTCTTTTTTAAAGTACAATCTTGGTAATATGTTAGCAGAGACCCCGCCGGGATGGGTGGGTATTTTTCAGTCTTGGTTTAGGCCTTTTCTGCATTGCTGGGAAGATGGCGGCCCAGTGAAAAGTCTGAGAGTCCGACACGGCAAGCTCCCGCTTATGTTGCCCCGAGTCTGAAAATACTTCGGCAGTGGCAGGTGACAGTGGAGGATATCATGTCCCTTCCCAGGAAGCTTCTGGGGGAGAGGATTTTTGGCTTCTGCTTTCAGTGTGTCACTGGCCTTAAAGGATTGCCCAGGCTCCGTAATGAGGGAGGGATTGCGTTTAATTAACTTGGAGAGAATCCCTTTGAAGTTTAGGGATCAAGCCTGGCTCACTTTCCATGGAAGGCTCTATGTGAGAGGGAACCTGAAGCACCGCCCTGTGGATGTTCGGGATTGTCCTAGAGCAGAGTGTGTTGGTAAAGTGGAGTCTATGGACCACTTTCTGCTCCTGTGTCCCTTTAACATAGAGGTGTATAAAAGTGTGGGGAGGGTTCTGGGCATCCCCTTTCTCTATCGCATGAGTTATGCAGAGTGGGTGTACGGGGCATTCCCAGCTCACTGGGACTTTGATTTGGATACACTTTTTCTAGTTAGTATAGTTGTTCGTTACTTCACATGGAACGCACGGTGTCAGACTACCCTGCGGAAGAAAGTCCTCCCTGTAGAGGTGGTGGTGCACGATATTCTGGGTGAGGTTGGGAAGATTCGGGGTCTTGAGAGGGTCAGAGAGCCTCGGGCGTCTGGATAAGGGCGTGGAGGAATATCAGACCTGCCTTTGGTGAACTGTCCATCTCTGGGTGAGGGGGTCTTTCCTTATGCTGTTCTTTTCACTCCCGTAGTTTTTGTTGATTAAGATCTTTTTTGAAGAAGGGCTGCATGCATAAGGGGGGCGGGTGGTTTCTTTGACCTCACAGGTTTGATGTCTGGTGTAGTGTGTGAGAGTGGTAGTACGATTTATTTCCCCAATTATGTCATGTTCATTTCTGAGACGTTTGCTTTTGTCTGATAGCAGATTTTGCTATGTTTATTTTCGTTTTGCTGTAAATATATATAATTTTTTTTTTTTATATTCTGTATAATATTTTTATGTTTATTGATTGCAAGACTTTAATAAAGAAAAATTGGGAAGAATGTCCCTTACATTGGTGGTCAGTGGGAAGAATGTCCCTTACATTGGTGGTCAGTGGGAAGAATGTCCCTTACATTGGTGGTCAGTGGGAAGAATGTCCCTTACATTGGTGGTCAGTGGGAAGAATGTCCCTTACATTGGTGGTCAATGGGATGAATGTCCCTTACATTGGTGATCAGTGTGGGAAGAATGCTCCTTACATTGTTCAGTGGGAAGAATGCTCCTTACATTGGGGATCAGTGGGAAGAATGCTCCTTACATTGGTGGTCAGTGGGAAGAATGTCCCTTACATTGGGGGTCAGTGGGAAGAATGTCCCTTACATTGGTGGTCAGTGGGAAGAATGCTCCTTACATTGGTGGTCAGTGGGAAGAATGTCCCTTACATTGGGGGTCAGTGGGAAGAATGTCCCTTACATTGGGGGTCAGTGGGAAGAATGTCCCTTACATTGGGGTCAGTGAGAAGAATGCTCCTTACATTGGTGATTCTTTTTTGAAGAATGTTCCCTTACATTGGTGATCAGTGGGAAGAATGTTCCTTATGTTGGTGATCAGTAGGAAGAATGTCCCTTACATTGGTGGTCAGTAGGAAGAAATGTTCCCTTACATTGTTGGTCAGTGGCAACAATGTTCCTTATGTTGGTGATCAGTAGGAAGAATGTCCCTTACATTGGTGGTCAGTGGGAAAGAATGGTCCTTATGTTGGTGATCAGTAGGAAGAATGCACCTTGCATTGGTGGTCATTGGGATATTCGTGACCAAAAACTCTCTACAGTCAGAGCATGGTTTAGATATAGATTTTGCTTCCTGAGGTTCTTCTTGAAAACATTTTATGTAACATTGTCTCGTTGTTTGCTTTACTCTCCAGCGGCTGGTCAGATGGCGGTTAATCTCAGCAGCTATCCTGACATCCATGGTCCTAACATTCATGATCCAGTTCTTCATGAAGAAGTCCCACCTGGAGCTGCAGGAGATCCTGAACCACATTGTAGCCAATTACAGCCCCACCCCAGTCCTCCGCCATTCAGTGACTTTGTACCACAACGGCAATACATTTTACCTGGATCTGTCTGAATACTCTCGGAAGCACCCAGGCCTTCAGGAGTATCGATGCCGAACCTTTATAGATCTCTCCGGATATTGCCGAACACTGGATCCTCTGATTATCTTGGCAGTAAAATCTCACCCAGCATCCCCTGAGAGGAGAAGCATCTTACGTTACACTTGGGCTCGGAAGAGGAGGATTCTAGGATACAGGTTCCTCCCTGTATTCCTCCTTGCCAACTCTGGCCATCGGGAGGAGATGGAGAGATTGGTGGAGGAAGCTGAATTGTATGGTGACATTGTACTGTGGGACTTCATGGAGAGCCACCATAACTTATCCCTGAAAGAACACTGCTTCCTGGAGTGGCTGCATCACCGCTGTCCAGTGGCCAAGTACATATTCAAAGGTAAAACCGGGTCCCTCAATTAAAGGACCATTCCACACAAACAGTGAAATTTTATAATAGCCAGAGACAACGGCTCAAACATCTCCCTTTCATATTTCCTGCAGAGTGTTTGTGCCCACCTAGATGCTCTTCCTGTTGAATTTTCCCTGAGGGTGAAAAAATGGTTCTGTTCTTCAGTTTCCTTAAACTTCAGTCCCATTTAGTTTTGTCCTCCCCCCAACAACTTTGCCTTCATCTCAACAGAGCCCTAAAGCATGTCTGAACACATGTGGGGGCTTTGGGAAGTCAATACAGCCCTAAATATGTGAAAGGGAAGGGGGAGAAGACAGGAAGAAACTAGTTTTTATTTAGGCTGAGGGTCCACTTTAAGGGCCCATTTATATTTGTGCTTTGCGTTCATTCACTTGCATTAACCCTCATTGACATGCATTGTGATAAAGGAACCAATTGTAAATATAGGGCTGCCAAAATTTTACCAAAAATTAGATGTGTTGCAACATTTGTAATGTAACACACCACAGCATGATGTGGTGCATTGCTGTACATTGTGTTACTGCAGTGGTCTCAAAACTGTGGCCCGGGGGCTGAAACTTGCCCTTTGCACCTTTATCTAGCCCTTGGGGCACTATGCTTCCCACTGACACCAACAATGGGACAATAATTCCTACACTGGCACCAACAGTGGGACAATATTCCTCCCACTGACACCAATGATGGGGCGCTATTCCTCCCCCACTGATACCTATGATGGGGCACTATTCCTCCCACTGACACCAATGATGGGGCACTATTCCTCCCACTGACACCAATGATGGGACACTATTCCTTCTACTGACACTAATGATGGGGCACTATTCCTCCCACTGACACCAATGATGGGACACTATTCCTTCTACTGACACCAATGATGGGGCGCTATTCCTCCCACTGATACCTACAATGGGGCGCTATTCCCCCCACTGACACCAATGATGGGGAACTATTCCCCCCACTGACACCAATGATGGGGCGCTATTCCTCCCACTGATACCTACAATGGGGCGCTATTCCCCCCACTGACACCAATGATGGGGCGCTATTCCCCCCACTGACACCAATGATGGGGAACTATTCCCCCCACTTACACCAATGATGGGGAACTATTCCCCCCACTGACACCAATGACGGGGCACTATTCCTCCCACTGACACCAATGACGGGGCACTATTCCTCCCACGGATATCAATGACGGGGCACTATTCCTCCCACGGATACCAATGACGGGGCACTATTCCTCCCACGGATACCAATGACGGGGCACTATTCCTCCCACTGACACCAATGACGGGGCACTATTCCTCCCACGGATACCAATGACGGGGCACTATTCCTCCCACGGATACCAATGACGGGGCACTATTCCTCCCACGGATACCAATGACGGGGCACTATTCCTCCAACTGACACCCATGACGAGGCACTATTCTTCCCACTGACACCAATGACGGGGCACTTATGCTCCCACTGACACCAATAATGGGGCACTATTCCTCCCACTGATACCAATGATGGGGCACTATTCCTCCCACTGACACCAATGATGGGGCATTATTCCTCCCAGTGATACCAATGATGGGGCATTATTCCTCCCAGTGATGCCAATGATGGGGCACTATTCCTCCCACTGACACCAATGATGGGGCACTATTCCTCCCACTGACGCCAATGACGGGGCACTATTCCTCCCACTGACGCCAATGACGGGACACTATTCCTCCCACTGACGCCAATGACGGGGCACTATTCCTCCCACTGACGCCAATGACGGGGCACTATTCCTCCCACTGACGCCAATGACGGGGCACTATTCCCCCCACTTACGCCAATGACGGGGCACTATTCCCCCCACTGACACCAATGACGGGGCACTATTCCCCCCACTGACACCAATGACGGGGCACTATTCCCCCCACTGACACCAATGACGGGGCACTATTCCTCCCACTGACACCAATGACGGGGCACTATTCCTCCCACGGATACCAATGACGGGGCACTATTCCTCCCACGGATACCAATGACGGGGCACTATTCCTCCCACTGATACCAATGACGGGGCACTATTCCTCCCACTGATACCAATGACGGGGCACTATTCCTCCCACTGATACCAATGACGGGGCACTATTCCTCCAACTGACACCCATGACGAGGCACTATTCTTCCCACTGACACCAATGACGGGGCACTTATGCTCCCACTGACACCAATAATGGGGCACTATTCCTCCCACTGATACCAATGATGGGGCACTATTCCTCCCACTGATGGGGCACTTATGCTCCCACTGACACCAATAATGGGGCACTATTCCTCCCACTGATACCAATGATGGGGCACTATTCCTCCCACTGACACCAATGATGGGGCATTATTCCTCCCAGTGATACCAATGATGGGGCATTATTCCTCCCAGTGATGCCAATGACGGGGCACTATATTCCTCCCACTGACGCCAATGACGGGGCACTATTCCTCCCACTGACGCCAATGACGGGGCACTATTCCTCCCACTGACGCCAATGACGGGGCACTATTCCCCCCACTTACGCCAATGACGGGGCACTATTCCCCCCACTGACACCAATGACGGGGCACTATTCCCCCCACTGACACCAATGACGGGGCACTATTCCCCCCACTGACTGACACCAATGACGGGGCACTATTCCCCCCACTGACACCAATGACGGGGCACTATTCCCCCCACTGACACCAATGACGGGGCACTATTCCCCCCACTGACACCAATGACGGGGCACTATTCCCCCCACTGACACCAATGACGGGGCACTATTCCCCCCACTGACACCAATGACGGGGCACTATTCCCCCCACTGACACCAATGACGGGGCACTATTCCCCCCACTGACACCAATGACGGGGCACTATTCCCCCCACTGACACCAATGACGGGGCACTATTCCCCCCACTGACACCAATGACGGGGCACTATTCCCCCCACTGACACCAATGACGGGGCACTATTCCCCCCACTGACACCAATGACGGGGCACTATTCCCCCCACTGACACCAATGACGGGGCACTATTCCTCCCACTGACACCAATGACGGGGCACTATTCCTCCCACGGATACCAATGACGGGGCACTATTCCTCCCACGGATACCAATGACGGGGCACTATTCCTCCCACGGATACCAATGACGGGGCACTATTCCTCCCACTGATACCAATGACGGGGCACTATTCCTCCCACTGATACCCATGACGGGGCACTATTCCTCCAACTGACACCCATGACGAGGCACTATTCTTCCCACTGACACCAATGACGGGGCACTATTCCTCCCACTGACACCAATAATGGGGCACTATTCCTCCCACTGATACCAATGATGGGGCACTATTCCTCCCACTGATGGGGCACTTATGCTCCCACTGACACCAATGATGGGGCACTATTCCTCCCACTGATACCAATGATGGGGCACTATTCCTCCCACTGACACCAATGATGGGGCATTATTCCTCCCAGTGATACCAATGATGGGGCATTATTCCTCCCAGTGATGCCAATGATGGGGCACTATTCCTCCCACTGACGCCAATGACGGGGCACTATTCCTCCCACTGACGCCAATGACGGGGCACTATTCCTCCCACTGACGCCAATGACGGGGCACTATTCCCCCCACTTACGCCAATGATGGGGCACTATTCCCCCCACTGACACCAATGACGGGGCACTATTCCCCCCACTGACACCAATGACGGGGCACTATTCCCCCCACTGACACCAATGACGGGGCACTATTCCCCCCACTGACACCAATGACGGGGCACTATTCCCCCCACTGACACCAATGACGGGGCACTATTCCCCCCACTGACACCAATGACGGGGCACTATTCCCCCCACTGACACCAATGACGGGGCACTATTCCCCCCACTGACACCAATGACGGGGCACTATTCCCCCCACTGACACCAATGACGGGGCACTATTCCCCCCACTGACACCAATGACGGGGCACTATTCCCCCCACTGACACCAATGACGGGGCACTATTCCTCCCACTGACACCAATGACGGGGCACTATTCCCCACTGACACCAATGATGGGGCACTATTCCCCCCACTGACACCAATGATGGGGCACTATTC